CTTAAAGGAACTACTACTCAGATGAACTTTCAATGTCCAGTTCAAGTTCAACACCAACCTCTGTAGACAAAGAGATGGACTGGCAGTGGGGTCGCCATTAGTTCCTTTACTTGTACACTGCTTCTCGGTAAGTCTAGTGAATAGTATGTTACAACCCACCATTGATAGTTTTCATAAGTACCAAAGATAAATGGATGCTACTTTCATCATATGTGACGAGAAAACTTACATCGAAATGATAACTGAAGAGTTCAACGACTGCCATCATGCTATCCAATTCACGTCAGAATCACAGATGAACTCGGAACTCCATTTTTTGGATGTTTTTCTTAAAAAAACTACCTGATGGTTCTCTTCAAAGATCAATCTACAGGAAACCAACATGGAATGGTCAGTACACGAATTTTCATAGTTACGTCCTTTTTGAGAAGAAAGAGAAACCTGATCAACTCCTTATCCTCAAGAATAAGAAGGGTATGTACCAGTGATACAATCGATGGGGAACTGGAGATATTCAGATGACCCCTCCTGGAAATTGGATATCCTTCAATATTCATCGAGTAAAACATGAAGGTAAAGCAAAAGTCCGAAAGAACCCGGATGGTGACGAAAAAACCGCTATTTATGAAGATTGAATTTAAAGGTAACATCTCAGCTGAGATCCTTAAGAACCACTTGTACAGATCACTGAGAAAAGCCTTCTTTTCGGCTGGGTGATGGGTCAATTTCTAGCAAAAGGACATTGCAAGACAGTTACTAACACAATTCTCGAGCACTTGGTGAACTCAAGCCACGTAGCACCACCAGAGTCGTCTTTCAAGTTTATCAACAAGGTGAGACCAAGTGGTACAAAGAGTGTCAGGTTACGGCATTTGTGAGTGATGGAGGCGTTGGCGATTAGTCAATAAAACCCCGAATTCTGTATACAGAAAAGGTTTACCCAGTCTCTTATTCTACCATGGTCTTAACCTCTCCATTAGTCTTTCCACGTAAAATTTTATTATTTTTATTTTTGACGATTGCTTTTGCTTTAAGAATTAATTCACAACTGTCACTCTCACATGTTCCTTTTGTACATTTCCTCACCCTCTTCACACTTGTTAAGTAGACACTCAACTACCTTTCTTCTGACTTAATGAATTTTTTTTCTATTTTGGAACAATCTTACTGAGAAGTAAACGGCATGGAATCAATCAGATCATCAGAATGAAACAAGTCATGTAAGAAGAAAGAAAACAGAAAAGAAAAAACGGCAGCACGTTAAGGAACACCAATTAGAGTAGGTAAAACTCTCGAGGACTTCCCGTTATGTGCAGTGTACTGTTTCCTATCAGAAAAGTAAGAATGCAACCATTTATTGGTCCAGTATCCTGCTTGTGTCGCAACAAGCTTGTTTAACAAACGTGGCCTAGTTACAACAAAGAAAAGTGTTGCAAGCCCTTCATTTCTTTGATAATGAACTTTATCTGTTTCAGCTGACATTGTGTGTATCAAATAATTAACACATGGGGTGTTTGTAAACTACAAGTCATATCAGGTTGGAATAACGAAATAACAAAGAAAATGTATAGTGATCGTCTTTATATCATCTTGTGATTCTAAATAGAATTTCTTTTATCCTTTTGTTTTCTGAATGTCTTAGCTTTTACACTAGCTAGAATCAGTTTACAAGAATAGCTGAGCCACTCACTAGTTGCTACCAAAAATTGGAATAAATATTCTTTCCAGTGTGCGTGTGTGTGTGTTTTAGTACACTTCTGTATCCATATTTTGTTTAAAAGATCAGAGATATCCCTTGAAAGAAGTACATTTAGTTTTTAAAGTCAAAATTTCAAATATCATATCTGTATATCATGTGAGATAAGATTTGATTTTCATGAACGTTTGTGATGAAAAATATTTTCCTTTTTTTTCCATTGTTCTTTGAAATTTTAGGGGAGAATAAACGAGTCCCAGTGAAATTCTGATCGCTCTTATACTACCGAAATGCTGTACGATTATATTATCACAAATAACTCTAATTGACAAGTAAAGTTAGATTGAAAGTGACCAGCTCCCCAAATAAGTAAACGCTTAAATTCTTCGTCTTCATAAAAGAAGAACAACTTTCCTAAAAACCGAATCTTTTTAACAGAATATATCATCACCCTCTAATTATCTTATAGTAACATTTTAAAACAGTTCGGCTGAAATACATGAGAACGCTTGCAACCGACACGTAAAGAGTGTAACACAGTCATACCAGGCCAACATGCCATTTAAGCAATCTATGGTTCTCAACACTCTTGACAGAATATTATACAATTTTATTTCAAAAATTACTTTTTATTCAAATATTTTACAGTTGAAATTTCAACAATAGAAAACCTTCACCTTGCTATATTAAGCTAACACGACAACATGCTTTTTACAGGCATTGGTTAGCTTCTAGCTTAAAATGTAAGATGTAGAAGGCATAGTAGAGAAATATATTTCTGGCTAAAGTTGGTGATAATACGAATGAAATAGAAACTTGTTATCAGGGATAACGGAGTATAACATTAGGTGGTTGGAGGCAATCGGCCAGAAGCCTTGGACCTAGGTTTCGTGCTAGTTGACACTCATCAGTAAGGCCTATCTGCAACCTTGAAGGAACTGATGTCCCTTCTGAGATTCCAACCGCATCACCCAGTGCTGCGGTCAGAAACGTTATCACTGAGCTATTCAGGCTCGCGACTGACCTCCTGTAGGACTGTATTGGATATTTTTGACTCCACACTAGTCAGTAACTAGTGTAATGTGTCTAGTCCTATCTTCGGAGTATAACATTTCAAAACAATACATCTTGGTTCTGGTTATGTCAAAAAATTTTAGAGAATACCAAAAATCGGTCCTGGAGAAGACAGGAAGGCTAAAAATCAATTAATCATCATACTTCACTGATCAGTCCCAGTGTACGAAGCAGTATTATTATTATTTATCATTTTGTTCCTTTACGTTCTGAGTGGAACATACGGCTTTAAGCTTCAGCTTTAAAGTTCCGGTGGTAGTGGCGTCTTCATTTATTGTCATGGGGTGGAGTTGCTAGTCTCACGCCCAAACTTCACTCTTTACCGACTCCACTACCGGATAGGCGATATTCAGGAGTGCATCTAACGGGTATTGGACCCCCAGGTCACATGAGTGGTTGACGAGCATTCTACCATCAAACTGTGAACGAAGCAGTGTAAACGAACAATTTCAAATTATAGAAAAAATCCCCATTTAGACATTTAGAAAACAGAAAGATTGAGCGAAGAAATATTTACTTTTCAATTAGATCCTCATCTCTGGCTCTACTCTGTTGTGTATTGTAATAAAAATGCTATATATATATATATATTAGAGTAGAGCCAGAGATGAGGATCTAATTGAAAAGAAAATGTTTCTTCGCTCAATCTTTCTGTTTTCTAAATTTCAAATTATTTACTTTTTTCATTCCTTGTTTTCAAGCTTTGGGCTTTAAAGTTTCAATATCAGTGTTTTTTACGAGGATGGGTAACTAGCCTCGCTACCAACCTTCCATCCTTTTCTGGGCTTATTATTAGCCAATAAACAAGTTGATACCTGTGAATGTGTCCGCCGGGAGTCGAATCCAAACCACCTGTCCAGCTCTCCAAGATTATACCACTGAGCCACTGATGCAACCGATTCAGTTACTAAGTTAATAATGTCATCTTTTATTACCTTTATTTCACAATCATGTTTACTATACCTAAAAATGTGAAAATCTTTTATTTAGCAAGAATGAAGTCTACGTTTGTCTTTTGAAGGTTAATCTGCTATTACTACTACTACTACTACTACTATTTTTCAGTCAAACTTCTTGCCTCATTTATTGAAACGGACATGGTGGTTTGCAACTTGAAATCATATATCGTTTAGGTTTTTAGCATTAATTAAAATCAAGGTAAACATACTATAAGTGTACATTGACCAGTCCAATATCATCCGTCTAGTATTTGGTGTTAGAACTGAATGAATTCAAGAGGTCAAGTTTAAACGTCTGTGCTGTGTGACTCAGCGTCGCAGTGTACTATGATATGATTTTGGACGGTTATGGGAATTCAGTAGGAAGGCCTGAGTCGAGGACTCGTGCTGTATGGTGCCCGGCAGTAAGATGTATCTGGAACCTTCATGGAAATAATTTCTCCTATAAGATGAATATGAGAAGGGTATATTTTTTAAAGTATAATTATATTTCAATAGTTTACACCCAATGATAAGTTTTGTTATTGGTAATATTTCGAGCAAAATTCCTGCCTTGTTCACACCACTGTTGGAATTGTTTGTTAACTATTGAAATATAATTATACTTTATTTGATCTAATCCACAATGCTCAAACTTTTTACTGATATTAATTCAACTGACTGTCTTCCCATTAAAAGATTGGCCAACAAACTCACACATTTATATCAAGCTGAATCTCGATTTATGAACCATCGAATTTTCAACATAAGATGCCTAAAAAATGGAATTGTTCTTGTATATATGAGACTAAAATCACCGATATCTACTGATAAAGCAAATGCAGCGCTCACACATGCCTCAAAAATATGCATCAAAGAAAACCTACGTGGAATTATACGAAAGCTATTCACAATAAGGTATATCTTTTATTCCTACAAATTTGCAATGGAACATAAAGGCTTCAACCTTGGGCTTTGAAGTTTCAGTAGCAGCGGTTTTTACTTTTGTTACTGAGTAGGTTTTCTAGCCTCACTCCAAACCTTTCCGCTTTACCGAGGTTACTTCTGGCTAAGCAGGGTTTAGGAGTGCATCGGACAGGAATCGAACCCCAAACCATGTCCAAGTTTGACGAGCATTCTGCCACTGAACCACCGATGGGCATAAGAAGGGTATACTTTGGGAAAAATGCTGACAATTTCTACAAAAGATGTCTTTTTCTTTGGCTGTATTCATAATATAAGAATAATCTGTAATTGATTAATATACATTGACTAAACATTTGAAAAGTTGATCAGTTTTCAAATTTACGAAAATGATCAAAATGCATACAGGTAAATAATTCACAAACCTTGTGTAATTTCATCCACTCTTGTTCCAAAAGAACTTGAATATTTAACTGTTGTGCATGAAGCATACTTAACCTTGCTAATTGAGCATTCACTTGATTTTCAAATGGCTCATATGAGTTCATATTTATATTTGGTTGGTAAACTCGACATTGTTCTTCATCTAATAGTTCAGGCTTTACCATACATGGATTAAACATTTGATGATCATCATAATGTTTATTAACTCTAGGCGAACACTGTATAGGTGACACAATGTTTGATGAGTACAATCGATTATCCTGTGAATCATCCGATAAATATTGATCAGATTTATCTCGTTTCACTTGAAAGTTAGGCTGAGGTAGGATTTGTTCTGATTTAGAACGAGATGGTACAAAGTATGGATGACCTAAATTAGGAATCCATGTGGATAAATTAGATGTCCTATGACTATAAGCTTCTGGTTCATGTAAAGATGGATTGAAATTTGACGTAGGATTTATATCAGCAGACAAATTTTCAATATTGTGTAAATTTTTGCGATGATATTTGCTATTTTCATTACCTTTGGATTCATTTACTCGTCCATGTTTTACTTCAGCGTTCATTCTGTCAGAAACATCATGTGTCGTACTCCCAGTATTTTGGTGGTGACGATATCTCTAAAATAAAAGAAATATCGTAATTATCGACAAATTTATAGAACATTTACAAAATTTAGACTACTTAGTGTTAAAGAAGAAAAGTAATCACTTACTACACCAATTACTGTTATTATTGTTCCCTAGGCTTGCTACTAGAACATATGGTTTTGACAGCACATCTCCATTTTTTCATCTTCTCTGAAATCTTTTTTAGTTGGCTCTATAATCCGCCAAAAGCTCTCATCTCCTTCTTACAATATCTTTTGCATATCACCCAACTCACCGTTTCTCATTGGGGCTCTACTCGATGGCTTGGTACGTGATATCACCCAACGGTTTCTTCAGCGTATTTCAGATCCATGTCCACTTCCTTCTGCATATTTGTAAGGCAGTAGATTCTTGGCTGGTTCGCAACCAAACAGAGTTCCTCGCTGCTTTTCCATTTCAGCTGATCATCTAATCTTCACTATAGAGCCACCAAAGACAGGTATTCATTAAATTCTATGTTAGCTTGTAGGAAGTGTTTTCGGTGACATAAAAAGTCTCCGAACCGCAAAGAAGAACTGACTTGACATTAATGTTGAAACATGGGCACCTTATTCCTTGTACTACACACCGATTTCGTAGTAATGAAGGTTTATATTACTTTCCCAATCGGTTTCTGACTTTGACACCCTCATCCGTGATGTCTGTGGTTGAAAGGGTGCTGCCTAGATAAATGGAAGTAGTGACTTCCTTGAAATTTGTACAGCTGATGGTTATTGATGTTTGTCGTTGTTGGTTGGTTGATTATCTTCATCACCTCCATCTTCTCTATGTTTACTTGAAGTCCCGTCTTTGCTTCTTCTTCTGTCAACTTAATGGTTCTCGCCTGTAACTCTTCAAATTTGCGTGACACTAAACATAAATCGTCCGAGGAGTTCAGATCTTCCAGACTCTTCTTATCAGTCTAACGTACTTCTGTCTTCCCGTTCCCACTCAAAGTCTTCTGCATGATCCACTCCACCATAATCATGAATACAATAGGTATTCGTAGACAACATTATTTTGCTTCTGTCTTCACTTCAACGACTTCTTCGAATTTTACATTACGAATCGATCGACATGTGGCAGTTATCATTTAGCCGTTGAATTATGTTGATAAAAGTTCTGGGCATTCTGTACTGTTGAATATTTCAGCAACAGTTTATATAAATGCAAACGCTGATCTAAAAACCCTACAAAATGCAGCTAAAAATAGTGTCAAGAATCACCTGCTTTAGTGAATTGATTAAAACGCTGTTCATTTATGAAAAGGAAAGTGTTCCAGAAAAGATTTAAAATTACTGAGTAAAGTTATCATTATATCAAACGGTACTGCCCAACAAGCCAAATAAGTCCACTGAGATAAGATAAAGCGATAAATTCACAGACCTTTCTTCTCTTACCTACAGTCTTATTAAGTGAACTATCTAATTAACTAACAGGAACTATATGGTTAAATATTAAATTGGTTTCAGCCATAAAATTTAAAAGGGACAGGATTACTCATATCATTAGATAATAAAAGGACACAGTCAACTAAAAAAGAAATATATTCACCTGTCATAGTAAATTATGATTTCAATAATTAAGTACTCATAAAATTGTAAAAGACACATTTTTCTGACAGCTCCTCTATCGCTTTGTCACCAGTGGAACAAATACCATTACCTTTCCTTTAAGTTTATAACTATTTCGGGTATGATAGTGTGATTGGATCAGGTGAAAAGCCTGTAAGTTCTTGAAGAAGATTTCCCTATCCAAATTATGTGCCAGATTACTATATGTTTGAATAATGAAGCCAATAAAAATATATGACAAAATATTTTTCGCTTTAATTATTTAGAAATGAGCGATCTGGCTTTTTTGTATTTTTGAATCGAAGGGTTTTATCCCCGCTACAAAAATATAAACTTTCCTTGAGTCCCTGTTAGAACGTAGGGCTTCAGAGGCACATGTTTCTGGAATCCCAACCAAATTGCTCCACCATCTCCCGAAAGGTTTAGATTCCTCCTCACGTGATTTTTTCATGTAACCCTACAAACCCCAACTCGTCGCTTATCATAGGGGTTCCATCTGGGGGCCTGTCTAGTGAGCAATGTCACTTGAATGTCTTCTCAGTTTACATCTAATCCATCTCTATTTCCCTGGGTATACTTTTTGGGTAACATTGATTTTTACCATTCAATGATTGTATGTTCAAGCTACATTTTGAACAGCTGTGATGTTCACCATCTACTTGCTTAACTTATAACTGCACTCCAAACCCTTAACTTAATAAAGGTGGTCATAATTACTAAGTCAGTTTCAGCGAAAATTTCTCAAAACATGGTTTGAGTTCGCTAAACAAAGACAAACCACATCCCCTTTATATTAGTAATCACTGTCAAAAACTGTTTCTTGTCATTTGTACTGCATTGCATGAACCAGTATCTATAGAGTTTATTAAACGATTTTACAAGCATCAAATGTTTTTAAATGAGCTGAAGTATACCATTTACACTGAGTAAACATGAGGGGAGATACTTCTCCAAGTTAGGCAAGAAGAATTTCGGATTACCATTGGGAAAAGTATTTTATAGGTGAATATCTATTAATGGAACAATAAATTTCAGACGGTTACTGATATTTCTGATAAATTAAGTTGTGTTAATCTCCTTTTTGATGTGCATTATTCCGTCAACCCTGTTTAAATATTCTCCTTAGCTTTCTTTGGCCTTTCAATTTTTCTTTACTTGGAGAAAAAATCATTACCTTGATGTTCTCATTTTGAGTTTTCTAGGCATGAACACATAGCAAAGAATTTAATATAACAGGTGAGTATACTTGCTGTCGGATATCAGTTCCCTGGTGGGATTTTTCTCCTTGTACTGTGACCGAAAAATTAATCTAGACATTCAGTGATGATAATCTGTGCTTATAACACCATAAAACTCTCACAGAATAACAGTTGCACCGGTAATTTGTTTCTTTATAGGTTTGACGTGTCTTTAAACAAAAATCATTGATTTTATGAGTAATTTGTCCAGTATAACCTTGGAAACAGGAAGTGAACAGATTGTGTCCCAGAAATTTCAAAATGACAGGGAAATCTACAGCATATCTGTCCAAAATGTCAAGTGAACCTATGCTACTAAGTTATATTCATCAAGTATCCTAATGGGATATTCTGTACTGTTACATCATATATGTAACGCTCTGTTATCCTCTAATGATTTATGTGTGCCAGTGATAGCCATCAGTATTCAAGCTTGATTAACGTCGACAAATCCCATGACCAAATGACTTACAGGTCATGACGGAACTCTTCATATAAGTGCATCAGTTTGAGTTTTTACTCTTGAGAAAGCATGAAGGCTTTAAAACTAAAATAATACCACAAGGTGCACGCATGGTGATGACAAGGAAATTATTTAAATGAATCATAGAGAGCATTCTGAAAATCTGTAAGATAAATGGGGAACATATTTGTGCCATTAGAAATGACTTTAAGCCATCTCATTAAGAGTTTCCAAATCCTAATTCTAGCCGTCCAAAAGACTCCGTAAAATGAATAGGCAACATCCAACTAATTTTGTCTGAAATTCGGAATGATATTTTAGTACTCTAATTTACCTTGTTCCTACAACATGCCAGATAATTTTAAACATACCAGTACTACTACGTTGCTACAGGGAACATATTTTATGAAAGCCCCTTGATCAACAAATACTCTTCGCTAGACGGACTGTTCACTTAGTGCTTAAGTCACTGATGAAACTCAGAAAGTATTTTGATACTAATATTATTAATGAAACAGTATATCTTTTACTGCCTTAAATACGTTCTTGGTTACCTTATAAAGCACTCAAATAGTTTACACTAACTTAAACATTCATGTATAATCGTTTAAATAACTCTATTTTATAGATATAAACAGTTTTATTAAAATCTTGTCATGCATTTATTTCTTCTCATTCAGTCTCCTAGAAAGAGCAACAGTGTCTGTTGCATAAATAATACATGAAGCACAGATATATTTTGTCTAATACGACCTAGTACGACAACATTCTGCGTGATGCTAAGCATATTATATTTCTCACTTAAAATAAATATCACCTCGATTACTAATTGATTATGTCTTTATCATTGATTTTCTTGGTACCTTTTCTTCTTAGTGTAATGTGTCTTTAGACTACTTTTAACGAATAAATCCACTAAAAATTAAAGAGATTTATGTTTAGCGAAGCAAATTCTTACTGTTTGGACAATGCTCCTTTTCAACATATCTATTTCTCTAACATCAAATAGATGTATTCTTCCTTACGATGAATTCAGTATGTGTTTCTATAATTTTGTGGATGTCATGAAGAATGTTACTCTTCCATGGTGATCGATACTGTTTAACACAAAAATGTCGCTTGATATTAAGTTATATTCATTCACTGTTACCAACATTTCTGATGGTTTATTTTCCATCTTTCTAAATTCTGTTGTGAAAAATGCAGTATTTAGTCGAATTATTATTAGTAGCATTTTTCTTATACTGTCGAGTATATCGTGCATCAGTGTTGAAAATCTGAGACGAATCATGAAAAGTGGAATACCCTGAGAAACAAGGATACTTCCTTTTAGCAGTAAACATATCGGACAGCATTCACAAATAGAAAATAATTAAATTTATAGCAGGCCACCAGTGTTAAGAGCCATTTAGTGAAAGTGAAAAAGTTGCATTTAGTCTTACTCAATCATTAATTTTTAACTTAATTTTATATACTAATTGTAAAAATTTAACACCTTTGAACTAATAATCAGAAAAAACACATCAATTTTGAGACTAAAACCCGTAAATATCTCTCTAGTAAAAGTTTCCTAGAGCACTTAACAGATTTTTTGCTTCTGTTTTGCCCGTTTTCATTACAGCACCATTATCGACCACTGCGTACAACTGCACCAAATATTATTTCTCTTTTGGAGACTTATTGAGGTGAGGGCATTAGATCAACATTTGGCAAGCCTTAATGTTATGTTCCGTTGCTCTTGCATAGTTCTTCAATATCCAGACATGCATCTTAATTTGACAACACCCATATTTATACATATATATATAATTTCTAGATCATCAAGCTTTGCAATGTGCAGACAATTTCGTAATAAATTCCTCTACAAAACTGCTTCTTCCCAGCTAGCATTTTCTTCGGGGGCACTGCAGACTTTTCGGGGCAAAAAACTTTGGGCGCATTGCCGTTCTTGAGTATTCGCCCCGAAGACTGCCCCAAAAAGTCTGCAATGCACCCTAAGTCTGCCCCAAAATGTCTGCAATGCGCCCAAAAGGATTGCTGGCTGGGTTACTAGAGATTATAAAAGTGAAAGTGAATCTGAAAATAAGCAGTCCGTCCTTTTAAATTTACAAATATTGGACCGTAGGAATGTAGCATGCTTTTGGAACTATAAACTTTCGATATCTACAAATATCTCTACGGAAGCCACAATTAATATTTTAAAAATAGGGTTTAATCAATCATATTCTTGATTGCCATTCATTATTATGCATTTATATGCTTGACAATATTTAAAAAGGCATTCATAAAGCAGAGTAGTATTTTTTAATTTGAATGAAAACTGAACTCATATTTGGGACATACGTTCACTACTCACTTTATCAGTTGATCTTTCATGAATATTGCTGTTTGAGCTCTTCAGATTAATAACAGGCTCTGTGTTAGTTGATCCACTCAAAAGTCTTTCCAAATCTTTTCTCTTCATTGGAATGTTCAAGGCTATATTTTAAAATGTCACCATACAAATTGAAGGTGTTATCGAGGACCTTGACTTATAAAAAACAATCAAGCATCCATCACATTTGATTTGAGCATGTTTGAGCCTACATTCTTTTGTCTTTATTCTTGACAGTCAGAAGTAAATCAAGACTTTCTATGAATTCTTACACAATAGGTCATTCTCCATGGCTGCTATAGAACTTCTGAATGCCACGGATAGTTGAAATTCATCACTTAGAAAATGCTTAACTGATGTCGCACAGAGTACTGCATATTCAACAATTGGGGGTTCTCCGGGGTATAATCACTGATATAATTAGCAACTGTGATGTCGAAATATAATTCGTTACCTCAGCTGGAATCCAAATATTTCAGTGAATATGCTGGAAATGAGAGGAAATAAATTATTAAAAAAAATTGAGTAATATTACTTGTGACGGGAAGCTTTCTGCAGTTAAATTGTCATTTGCCCCAAAATTCTCGAAAGCTCTAAAACCGGTGTTTTCTAGAGACTAAGAAGCAAAACAAAGTAAGTCCATAGAAAGACTGATTATTGGCAGATGTAGTAATGTCAAGTACGATGTTACAATAATGTCAGAAACACGGATACAGTATAAAAATCAACCACAAACTCCTATAATCGTCTTCTTTCAACAGATGTTCTTCTGTATACCTTAAGAATAAAAACTGAAACAGTAGCTGAAATAGTGGTTGACATTTCACCCAACAGTGAACAACTCCGTCGACATCGGCCTGGCAGAAGCAGGAAACAGACAGTACTGTTTTATCTTGAACCGGGCTAATTTCCTTTTAACACTGGAATGGATATAAAGTCTGTCATGAAACACTCTATGAATAATATTTCCGGGCTATATAAACATTACCAGTCCCAGGTATCCTGAGAGCAACATACACCTCAGGCGGAATATCTCCACTTCATTTCGTTGTCTGCAGACTTATTTAGTTGGCTCCCCATATGCTTTCATTTCCACCTCCACATTTTGCCTCCATACCACTCTCAGGCTGCTGCCCAAACGATCAAAACGCATTCGATATCCATTAAGGGGCTTAACATGCAATGTCTCAGGCGTATCTCAAATCTACGTCCGTTTCCTTCCACACTTTGTTTGAGCAATAGGTTCTTAGTTGGCTCGTTGACAGTTCCGCCTCGTTCAATCTCTTTTACCGGCCATCTGGTCTTCGGCATGGGGTGAAGGTAGCTGCTAACATAAATACGCAGTAGTCCGTCGGAGATGTTTTCACGTCGTGCCGAGCCTCTGAACAATATGGAAACCCCGACTTGACACTGGTGTGTAGATCCAGGTCTTTTACTCAATCCCAAGTGCAGAACATTTCCACAATAGTTTCAGGTTGATGAAGTTCTATCCTGCTTTCATGATCCTGTCTGGCCCTGACATTCACGTCCGTGAAGACTGTGGATGCTAAGTTCTGCTGTTTCTGCTTCTCCTGTCAAGCTTTTTGGTTTTCGTCTGTAGTTGTCTGAGTTTGTGTAACATTAGACGCAAACAGTCCGCGAAATGTAAGTCTCCTAAAGTCTTTTTATCGAAACAACCTACGATGGACTTCTTGCATCCCATGGTCTATGGCATGATATAGCTGACTATTATCAGGAATATCATCGATGATAGTAGACAATCAAGTTCTACACCTGTCTTCTCCTCGAAAACCTCTCTGAGTTTTCTGTTTTGAAACACTTGTCAAGGGACATAACCACATAGCTGTTTAGCGACGTTTATGAAGGTTTGCTTACTGTAGACCGTAGTGTTGAGACAACTATCCAATTACTTCAGTAGGCCTATCAAAAGCTGGAGAAGGTAAGGTAAATATTTGCCTTGTTTGATGATTGTGCCACGACTCGATCCGCTCATGATAGGATTTGCCTGAATCTAGCTTGTTGCAGGCAGAGTTTCACATATAGATCTTCTTTCATTACCTCCTATTTTGCTGCTGTTGTATAAATGCATGATTCCACTATAGTTACTCTGCAGTTTAAGCCACCTTTCTTCGACATTTGTGCAAGGTAGCCTTCAATCATGTCTGCAGTTACCTTTCTTTTCGCCAAACCCTACTGCAACATTGGCGTGAGCATATTCACTGATTTCTCTGGGTCCATTTTCACTGTTTCTGGTTGTACCCTACTTAATCCTGGTGCTTTCCTGGCTTTATGTGGTTTTCACGATTGATAATTTTTCTGTGTATGTTCACCAGGAGTCTCTCTATCTGTTGGTAACCTGTGAGCGAATGTCGATATGTAAGACCAGTTCAGTGTTTCCTTTGCTGCACCCAAATGGTGATTGGGTCTACATAGTATATATCAGTGTTTTCAGTTGCGTCTTACGTGCAATCTGTTTCGGTTCAGCAGTCGTTGTGTCACCAAATTATTAATAATATCGAAAACTACAGACCCATCACATTCGAACAAGTAACTTATTATGACTATAGAAACACTCGTCTTATTTCCCATCTAATTGTAATTGATCAATAACACTCGTATTATTATTATTTCTGAATGCACATTATCTCATATTGAGTTTTATTCCAATATCTAATCGATTCCACACATGTATATAAATGGAGGAAAGAAGTTGTGTGAGTAGCACAGCGGCAATTCGAAGGATTTGTTACTTTTTCGCGTGTTATTTCTTAGTTCTTTTTTACTCTATAGGCGGCTTTTCAATAGGTCTCTCGAGGATAGTACTAAATATTTAGTCCTATTTTTTCATGAAAGATAACTTTTCCGGCTGTAATTGTCCATTATAGCTAGTGTCTATTTAAGTGCTTCTGTTATCGCATCTTTGCATTTATAGTATTTGTTAAGCGTGTCTTCATACTATATTCCAGTATTTTTATCCACATAAACTGCTAATTGCGTACCAAACTAAACAATCTAAATCTCCAACACCCCAAAAAGGACCTTACAGACACTTTGCTCATTCTCTTATATTTAAGAAGTTTAACTCTTTTCTAAATGCCAATGGTTGAAACTAAGCGTCAAACTCCACTGTCTGCTTCAAATCCCAGTAAAAAACACAAACCGAATAGAATGAATAGGCCTGCAGGAAGTGTGAAGACTACATCCAGTGATTTAACAAATAAACACATGTCTGCTGCAGTAGATACGTTAAGTCCGGACGTTGAATTCCCCTTTACCTGCTTGCGTATTAAACAACATCATGGATGGTATACATAGTGATACTACATGCAATGATCCAGGCCTCGCAGACACCTGCAAAACGTCTTGCGAAATGAATTACACGGCAAACATTTTGACTCCTAGCATTAATCCAGTTTCTTGTTCTACACCTTGTTGTGAAGATAAAATCGCAGAATTATTTTCCATTATTAGGGGGCTTGAAGTTAAGATATCAAAACTGGCAGTACCTAGTGAAACCGACAGTAATGGTACTTCACCTAGTAAATTACCACAAACCGCAAACCTGATAAACTACGTTGCAACTGAAGTATATCAACGTGTAGTGCGCGAGAAGAACATAATCGTGTATAATATACCGGATAATGCACAGATTAACAAGGTCAAAAGCACTATTCTGAATGCGTGCTCTATGAATAACGTCTCATGCAGCTGTCATCGACTTAGAAAGTCTCATAAAAATAAATCTTGCCCACTTGTGTTGAAATTTGACTCGTCCTCTAATGCTGACATCTTTTACAGTAGGCAAACACTACTGAAAAATACACGTTACCATACGATTAAATTAGCTCGTGACAAGACGCCGATCCAAAGAATGACTTATTCTAAAACTGTAAATCCCAGCTCCTCTACAACACCCCTGGGCACCCACACTTCTGTTGAGGCAGAGCAAAAGGGTGTGGATCTTTCTATACAAAGCACACCGTATTCGGAAACGAACTTGCCTGAAAATATAAGGTCAAAAAATAGTTCAGTGTATAGCCGAACACTAAGAAAGAAATCGACCGTAGATTTAGATTCCTCTGATAACAATCCCTGTACCCCAGTGACAAACTGCAGTACATCACACCCAGTATTCACCAATTCAAGTAGTCTTAATTCCAGGAAGTTGAAGAATGCAGCTACCAGTTCGTCTACAAAGACAACGCAGAATAAGAGACTAGTGTCACACACTAATTCACATGCTGACAGCTCGATACCACACCTCTCTCCAGAAACAAATATCCACAAAACCAATAGGTACAAAAACCGCAAAACAGAACCCGAACCTCGTAGCTACCTGTTCAAAAAAGTAAACCCTCGCACCAATACAAACCAAAACATTGATACACTTAACTATAGGAAGTCGAATAGTGGTGACGTAATTCGCAACAATTCGAATAAGTTGAGCTTGCTTGGTAGGCCACCTCCACCTATTTACATGCCTACACCCAACAGGGCTGACTACCCACCGATCAACAGTTTTGCTGAAACGACATTACCATTTTTTATACAGGTTCACAACATGACCTCAAACATACTACAGACATGGCAGACCTTTCCTATTTGCTGATGACATCAAAATAGTATACCACTCACTCAGAAATGAAGTGTTATGTGTATTTGATAGGATTCAGGATGATATTGATAGCGTTCAATTGTGGTGTAACACGTGGAAAATGAAGTTTAACGTTGAAAAATGTGGTGTGCTATGCTCCAAAGGCATTTCATCCGAACTTTCCATCTCCCTACACAACAATCATATTCCTCGTCTGCCGCTTACAACAGACTTGGGTCTAAAATACACTCCAGAATTTAGCCTAACGGAATACGTTAAATTACAAGTATCAAAGGTTAAAAGGCTTTTTGGGTTTTTATTCCGAAACTTTAAAGCGTGTGAATCCAAAATTATGCTGTACAAGTTATGCATAAGGCCCTTACTTGAATTTTGTCCTCCTGTCATGGACAGTGTTTCCGTAAAAGACAGGTGCAAATTGGAAAGCCTACAAAGGGCGTTTACCAAACGTCTAGTAGGTGAAAATCTTTGCATTTCC